CAGAATGTAATCACAGACTCTAGCTATTCTAATCCAAATACTCTAAAGTTGTACTTGACTCACTGCATTCCTACTGCCTACAGAAAAACTTTACTAAGCTTTTAATCTTTCTCTTGAAAGCATCTCTGAATTCCAATTGCTTATCTTCTACCTCTGAGTTCTAGTCTGCTACCTTCTTAGCAAGGAGGTATCAGTTTTAAGGACCACAAAGTAAACCAACAAGCCATATTAAGGAAACTGAAACTTTAGCTTGAACCCTAATAAACATTCTATCAAAGAGAGAAAAATAAAACTCAAAAACAGGTTGAGTATCCTTATCTGAAATGTCTTGGACCAAAAGTGTTTCAGATTACAGATTTGTGGATTTTTTTCCTAAAATTCTTTAATGTTTGCATATACGAGTATCTTGGGAAGGGAGCCCAAGACTAAACACAAGTTCATTTATGTTTCATAAACATCCTATATACATACTCTAAAGGTAATTTTACCCATGAAACACCACTAGGTCGATCAAAAAGTGGATGCTCAGAAGGATGCATATTTTCAGAGCATTTTAGAGTTCAGGTTAGAGTTTGGGATTAGGGAAAAACAACTTACAATTCTTCCTCTACTACAAACATCTGCAACTATCTCTTCCCCCAAGCCCTACCTTTGCCATAATTTTACTTCAAACTAACAAAAAAACAAAATAAAGGAGTTAAGACAGATGAGGATTAAAAATATAATCAAAGTCACTGGCCAAACAGTAAATCACTTCAATTGTAAATTAAACTTACCCAGTTAGACATGGAGATGTTCCATTTCCTTCTCCCTCACAGAGGTCCAGCCTGCTCAGATAAACCTACCATACAGATGAATATATTGAAAATGTATGTCCTAAGAATCAAGAGACCCAAAAACAGAACCAAAGGCACTGAGGACAATCCATTCAACCCCTTCTTCTAATCCTTTGAAAAATCATTTCAGAGGGTGGGAGGAGGGGGGCAAAAAGCTACTTGCAAGAGAGCATTTCCTACTTTATAAGTCACCATAGAAACATGGGGAGGATGATGGTCCGCCCCCTACAAACAGGTACAATCTGCACAAACATAAAACAAATCCCTAAAAAAAAAATTTTTAACTCTCAAATAGGAACATCTTTTAAATACAGTATGTGTCTTCTCTTTTCACCTCTTGCTCTAGAGAGAAGCAGGGAGCTGATGAGATATTAGCATAGCTGAGCTTGAAAAGACAGAGCTAAAAAGAAGAAAATCTAGTATATAAACCCCTCAAAAGTCCTGACTTAAAAAACAATACCCTCTGCAGTCTTTATACAAATCATAATAAACTCAGCTGTGAAGGTCAGTCCTGTTTGTACAACTGCACAGTAACAGAGGGGTATTTAGCTCCTCCATCTTCCTTTTCCAAACTCTTCTTTACCTAGCTTTCTCTCATGCCTTTACCATGAAGATAAAGACCTTCACTTTGTAAGACCCATCTCTTGGGACTGGAGTTTGACCTATAAAACTCCTATTCCTCACAGCCCAACAAAGCATGAAGCAGATTATGTGATTAAAGTACTTCCTACTAATGGGTAAATGAGTTTTAATCCACAAGCTTTAATTCCACAAATGCTATTAGTCATACAATGTATTGGGCACAAAGTTTAACCAAAGTACCCATTCTTCTTACAAAAAAAAGTAATCTAAATCAATGAACTTTCTTCATCCCATTGCCAACCTTCTTGTTCTCCCCATGTGCCAGGGGACCTGTATTTCCTTTGGTAAAAGTCAATGTCCAGCGACACAATGTGTAAGAAGGTACAACAAATAATAAGTACATGAATCCTGAAATGGACTGTAGAGGGTCTCCTGGACTTAATTTTACATATAGGTACAAGTATAATAGCAACCTTCTAAATAAACCAATTTGCTCTTAAGATACTTACAAATCTAATAATAAACACTGAGAAGTTTTTCGTCAGTTATTCTCATAGTAAATATGTTAATATAGTCCCCTCTTAAAGTATATATTCCAAGTTAAGCAGTAGATGCCTGAAACTGTGACTAGTACCAAATGAATCACATCCCAGGTATTCTACGTTTTTCCTTACATAAACATACCTATGGGAAACTTCACTGGTTAGGCACAGTAACAACAATAATTAACAATAAAAAGGTAAAAAAAAAAAATGTAACAATATACCCTGGTAAAAGGTTCTGTGACTGCAGTGTTACACATTCTAGCAACCTTGGCATATGCTTTTTTCTTTGAGTCAGGAACTTTCCCTTTTTTCACATACAAGCAGCACTTTATGGTTTCTTGTTGACATATGAGTTACTAACAGCACTACTTTTGTACCATGGGCCATCATTAAATAAAAGAAAGGTTTTCTGAACACACTGTGAACTCATCAGCAAGGCTGATAACCAAATGACTACTAAAGTGGCAAATGGATGGGTAGCACATTCTGGTCAGATATACCTGCATGCAGGGGTGGTTTATGCTCCAGGAAAGATGGTGGGAGAAACTGTTTTATCATTGTACTTGGAACAGTATGCAATTTGAAATTTATGGGCTTTTTTTCTGGAATTTTTCCATTTATTAATTTCAAGCCAGTAATAAACTACAAAAGCAAAAGTGTACACAAAAAAGAGACTACTGCAGAAAGTACCCATTTAATTTGTAGCACTGTATATAATGGGCATTGAACCCATCTTCTGATTTTAATTTAATCTGGCATTTTCCCCAATTCTTCTAAAAGTTTGCAATTCCAAAATAACTGACATAGTTGATTTAAACCTTTGCTTCTAGTTATTAAATTAATTCTGGCCTATAATACAACTTTTAAACCAGATATAAAACATAACTCTAAAATAGTTTCATATGTTAAAGATCAAAATACAAGTATGTTTGGTTGGGCCACATGAAACTTTTTGTTTTTGCCAATATTTTTAAAAAAAATCAGGAGACTATATTTAAAATTCTAGAGTTCCTATAGTCTTTTAAGAATGCTGAAGACGGATTCCACATTCATGTATACAGTATTCAGGTGGACTTGAATACTGATGCCTCTCAAACAAGACAGAAGAAGCTCTCTAGTGCATCTGACATGCTCATTACCTGTCTGGTACCCGAAGGCATGTGAATGTCACTGACTCCTATCTCTCTGAGAGATGCATAGTATTTTCAATCACTTGTACACTTCAGTAGGCCATTTAAATGTTAAGAGGCCACAAGCAGACCACAGTTCTCTGTGATTTCATATAATAATAGTTTAAAAAAAGTTATACAAGTCTTTGAAGAACAGAAAGAATGAAATTGAACAAAATTCAGACTGCTGGAGAATAACACAGAGGAGGTAAAAAGCCCGACCTAGAAGTTGAGAGTGTGAAAAAATAACTCAAAAACATTGTTTGCAACTTTCTGAACTCATCACTCTGAATCCTTACCATATGCTGTGTTTCTGAAGCTCCCTTCTTACTTTCTCTCCACTCATAAGAATAAAAGTTAACTAGATAAGCTCTATGTTAGAGAAAATTATTAAGCATAAAAACTCGAAAAAAGACTCTCCTTAAAAACTTTACTAATTCAATGTTAATCTACTGTAAGTAATTTTCCAAGTATTTTCTACCACTTTCTGCTTAACATTCAAGTATCAGTTCTTGGTTCAAAGCCCAGGGTTGAATTCTAGATGGACTCTCCCATACAGAAACTCTTTTTAGCTTTTACATTTGCGTGCTTTATTATATCTTTTATTCCAATATCTACAGTCTCTTTCATTCAAAGTCATTGCTAACCCTCTCTCTAAAAAGTTTTGATCAAATCTGGCTAGTGGAGGTAAGAAAAGAGAAGGGAGCAGGGAAGAAAAGAACGACACCCAATTGCCAATCAATACATTGTACTGTTTCATTCAGATTGTTAACTTAAATAAAAAGCATGGAGACTCTTAAAGCACGGCTATAAAATAATTTCATATACTAAGTGCACAAAGTGGAAAACTGGTTTTAGCATGTCATGGACTCCAAATAAGGGACGAAAACCAGTAATTCTATCAGGGCCAAGATTCAAAATTCTGAGAAAAAAGAAATGGGAATCCGGTGAAGGCCGAGGCTAGGCACACTGGCCAGCACTAACAAACTGCTAAGCGAAATCCCAAATACAAGCCCATTCCCAAATACAAGAAGTGATAAGACTACGCAAGTCCCAGAGAATAAATCAGAACCTTTTCTGGGCAAGTTAGAGGCAAACAGAGCTTTACCATTGTTGATACGGTTACAGGATAAAACCACGCAGCACATTACAGGTGTCTCATCCTCTACCCAAAGGGCGACTCCCCCACCACCTCATCCCCAAACTGGGAGCCTTACTCACCGCCCTATTGTGATGCGCCCTCTTCGGGTTGTCGCTGCGGTGGCCCAGGGATGACAGGAAAGGGGCGGGGCACGGGGTTACTCTGCCCTGGAAAGGAGGTTGGAAAGGAGGTGTGAGGGATCGCCTTGTTCCCCGGGGAAAGGCCTCCGAGCTCCTAACCCATAAAGCATCACCCTTCTCCGCCTCTCCAGAGCCGGTGCCGGAGCCGGCAGCTCTGAGCGCCACCCACGCTCCCCCCAGCCGCCGGGACCCCGGCCCCAGCAGCCAGCCTCGCCCTCGGCTTCCACCGCAAACCCAGCCGCCCGCGCCCAGCCCGCTCCAACCTTCCAGCCCCTGAGACGTCCACTGAGGGTCGAGGAGAAGGGCTACGAGAGCGACGCTCCCCTCCCTCCGCCTACTCCACCGGATCCCTCCGGTGCTAGGTGTAAGGCGGCCGCTCCACCAGCTGCGCCTACCAGAGCCGCCCCGGCAGGTTGCAGGCCGGCTCCTTAGCCGCTTCTCGCGAGACCTTGCACTAGGCAGAGGCGCGGCGAGGCGAGTTCTCGCGCGAATGACGGCGCTCCGCCCATAGTGGGTGTGGCACCGGGCCCCGTGGTGGCTGAGTGGCGTCTCGGGGTCCTGGCTGGCGGGACCGAGCGGTGGGTTCGGTGCGAGCGTTCCTTGGCGCCGCCAGCCGGGACCGGTTTCAGGCCACCCACAAACCCTTGAGCACACTTTCTCCCCACGCTTCCAGTCACCGTTAGGCAAAAACGGACAGCGTCTCCCGCCCAGCCAAAGCAGCGCCTGGGAGACTTCTTGCAGGAGCGCGTTCCCGTGAGCAGAGCAAACGCCAGGGTCGTCTCCGCGGGGTCCGCCAGCAGGTACCGGCAGCACGAGGCGCTGGCAGGCGGTGGTCCTGAGGGACCCCCTCGGCTTCCCTGCGGCCGCCCCGCCGCTAGATTTCAAACGCTCTGTCTGTTGGCGGGAACCGGTGCTCCAGCTGAAACGCCTGCTGTGGCGCCGCCTCTGGGACCTGGAGAGTCACCTGGACGGGACTCGCCAAAGTAGGGTTCCGATAGTTCGGTGTGACCGAACCTACGGTGTGCCTAGTGTTAGGCTCTGAAGAGATGAAACAGTGAGACCGATACCGCCCTGGCGCTCAAAACTCTCACCCCGGGAATTCAGACACCCAGAGGAAGAGATAATCCCATTATGCTGTGCTAGGGAATGTACTCCCCATAGAGAGCTGTAGGAGCTTATCTTATCTATCTTGTTCAATTCTCAGAGGGTGTGGTGGGGCACACCAAGGCGCCGCCCGCCGAATCCGGTGTTTTAGGATTCCGGAGGGAGGCAGAAGCAGAAAGACTGAATTCGAAGTGAGTCTGGGCTACAGTGAGATCTTGTCTCAAAAAAAAAAAAAAACTCCACTAAGGAATGACATTTGAGTTCATTCTTAAAGTAGAAGTCCCCCAGTTTGGAGAACAGTGGGAAGGGTATAAACAGAAAGAGAACATGATTTCAGTATTTTGGTATGAAACAGATTTGTAAAAAGAACTTGGTTTAAAATCCAGTCACTCTAAGAAAAAATTCCCTGGGTCAGGTATGTGATGCCAAGTGTTTTCCACATTAACATTTATGCTAAGGAAATTATCATTTGAAGTGAAAAAGGATAGTGAGCATACTTACTTCCTGAAAGGACTTAAATATCAGACACCGAAGGAAAACAAAGGTTATTGTCATAGCTAACAGTCCGCTGTCTTGGAAATTGCCCCTAATTTTCAAAACTGTCTAAGAAAAACAAGCTAAACGAGGCTTGTCACATGAATAAAGTTTAGAGAAACTGCAAGAAAATCCTCAACAGTAACAAAATCTTCACCAATCGTGATATGTCATCAAAGTTTTCCGTAACTTATCTCAAATTGGGTAACTGTAGCACAAGTCAGGGGTAGTGACTCAGTCAAACCGGATTTATTCATACCCTTATGTCTGAATTGAAGCTGTTATTTTCTAAAGAAAGGCTCTGACACTCAATGACAGCACTTCTGCCAATATCCCTTTAGTCGCATTATTGTATACAGTTATATATCCCATAGGTTTCACGTGGCTCACACTACTCCCAGCAAATAAGCCTAGCACACAATAGGACAGCAGAAAGAAAGTCATTCTAGCTGTTGTGGACCAATCAGGTGTATGTTTAGTGTAATTTGCAAGTTCTAGTATAAATTCTAGGAATTTTTCAGAAAACAGTCATAGCAGTTATAGGATGTTAAATGAAATATGGGAACTTTGGTTCATGTTGGATTGCATTCAAATCATCTTAACGTGAAGTTCACTATCATTAATGATAAAAGCTTTCAAATTCTAAGAACAGCTATGTATATAGGAGGTAATGCCATTGATTCAAATAAACATAAATTTGTTCTAATGATAACTGCTAGCTACATGGATTAAGGCTCAAATACTTAAAGTCTTCCCTAACACCAATATACAATACCAAAGAGCTTAATAAAGAAATTTTCGGCCGGGCGGTGGTGGCGCACGCCTTTAATCCCAGCACTCGGGAGGCAGAGGCAGGCGGATCTCTGTGAGTTCGAGGCCAGCCTGGTCTACCAAGTGAGTTCCAGGAAAGGCGCAAAGCTACACAAAGAAACCCTGTCTCGAAAAACCAAAAAAAAAAAAAAAAAGAAATTTTCATTTAGAAACAATGAATAAATTCCTTTGCAAAATGAGCTATGCTAGTAACAGATGGACACATTTGTGTTTTTCTACAATGTCAGAGTTGATTGAATATCAGATTCACATATTATGTCAATTTTGTCATCTTTAAGTAGCTTAGAATTGGAAAAGGGTGGTGTATATGTGCCTAAGTGTTTGCAGTTGCATATGTGTGTGTACCTGAAGCAGAGGCTAGAGATTGATGTTGGCATCTTCCAATTATTCTCCACTATATTTTTTGAGACAGTGTCCCTCACTGAATCTGGAGCTCTTGAATTCTGCTAGGCTGGCTAGTCAGCAAACTCCAGGGCTTCTCTTGTCTCTGCTTCACCAGCACTGTGCACCATGTCCAGCTTTTAATGGAGAGTACTGGAAACTGAGCTCAGTTCCTCAGGCTTGTGTGGCAAGAACTTGACCAGTTGTGGAATCTCACAACCCCAGGTCACCTAAATGAACTGATTTTACTTTGAATGTGAGGGCTAAAGTGATGTTTTAAGTTTAAATTACTGTGCTTAAGAAGTCTGTAAAACAAAAAGCTGCTAACATGTAAGCTACACTTGTCCAAGGACAGGTAAACCTGTAAGCCCTGCTTGCTCAAGGACAGATAACTTCCTGGAATGCTCAGGGCTATTCATGTTTGACAGTGGTTCTCAACCTTCCTAATGGTGTGACCCTTTAATATAGTTCCTCGTGTTATGGTGACCCCCAACCATAAAATTATTTTCGTTGCTATTTTATAGCTGTAATTTTGCTACTGTTATTAATCATAATGTGAATATCTGATATGCAGGATATCTGATAAGGAACCCCTCTGAATGGGTCATTTGACTCCCAAAAGGGTAATGACTCACAGATTGAGAACCACTGATGTAAGCTAACAAGCCACACCTTTTCACTTCTATAAACAAGGTTGGTTGCCCAGCTGTACATGTGTGCTTAATCACTTGTAGGTGGCAGATATGTAGGCAGGAAGTATGTCAGGAGATAGGCTTGCTCCGATTGGATGAAGGTAGGAAGTATGGAACCTTGTGGGTTTTGCTTTAAAAAGCACCTGACTAATGTAATTCATGGCCATTCTCTGGGAATCCTGGGTATGGACCTGGTCTGTGTCTATCATCCTGACCAGTATTTAATAAAGTTTGCTTCAAATTTGGCTCAAAAAGTGGTGGTGGAGGTGGTGGTGGTGGTATTATTATTCTCACCCAGTGGGATTATCAGGTACTCAAGTTTTTTTGTGTTTTTGTTTGTTTTTGAGACAGTCTCATACATATCTAGCTTAGGCTGGCCTGAAATGTACTGTATAGCTCAGGCTAGCCTCCAACTTGAAGCAGTCTTGCCTCAGCTTCCTGAGTGCTGGCCTTATAGGCATGACCCACCATAATCTGTCTTAAAACAAGGTTATTTTATTCCCTTGTAATTGTAATTGCTAATATTAAATCTCAGATCACACATGTCATGTAATCAAAAGATTTCCTGTGTCCTGCCTGTCCTGCGGTTAGGACAAATCTCTCTCATCCCTAGTCCTGCAGCCACTTATAGAATAATTACTCAGAGGCTTAATATTAATTACAAACTATATAGCTTATAGCTAAGAATTCTTGCTAGCTAGTTCTTTCATCTTAAATTAACCCATTTCTATTAATCTATATATTGCCACGTGGCCATGGCATTATTGGTCTGCTGGCATGTTGTTCCTTGGGCAGCAGGCTAGCATCTCCCCTGCCTCTGCCTTTCTTCTTCCTGTCTATCTCTTGGATTTCCTGCCTGACTATAACTTGACTCATCATAGGCCAGAGCAGCTTCTTTATTAACCAATCATAGCAACACATATGCACACCGTACAGAAAGACCATCCCACAGCAATGTCACACAATGAAATATGAGTTACAAAACAGGAAAAGAGGAGTTAAAGTGTACATAGAATTCTGAGGAGCCTAACTGAAGGCAACCAGGCATGAGGCTGGTCCAAAATCAAAAGAGAATCATTGTAGGTAAATAGATAGTAAGACAAGGAACCCAATCCCAGAGCTGTTCTGTGGCAAAGCTGCCAGAGCACGATTGGTTCAAGCAAGGCCTCAGAGCCGGCTTAGGGCACAGTGGGTCCAGATGAATGTTCAAGTGGATTCAGCCCAACAGAGAGAGAAATCATTGCTAAGCTGGAGACAGTCTGCATTTTGTTAATAACTGGTGATTCTCCTGACACATAGACATGCAGTGTCTTGATGATACACCTTTATATAACCCATGTGAGGGGATTACAAAATTCCTTCGTCTGGTGTGTTTGATAAACTCACAAACCTAGTTCCTCTGATAATGGTTTTTATACACATAGGTGTTTGTGTGTCCCTGATTTAATTTAATAAGTTCAATGGTAGCATTTTTTATTTTAAATGTTTCTTTTTTTTAAATGGGTATGAATGTTTTGCCTGAACACACACATATGTGTGTGTGTGTGTGTGTGTGTGTGTGTGTGTGTGTGTGTGTGTGTACTATGTACATGGCTGGTGCCCACAAAGATCAGAAGGAGGCATCAGATTCCCTGGAACTGGAGTTATGGATGGTTTTAAGCCACCATGTTGGTACTAGGAATTGACCCAGAACCTCTGTAAGAGCAACTAGTGTTCTTAACATGATAATTTTTTATTTGCATGAAGTTAGCAGTTTAGGGCTTGTTTACTCAAACAAACAAGCCGCAAAGTCATTCTGCCTCAAAATTGAGCAAACTGCTGCTTTATAAAATGAAGTCCTGTAGGGCAAGGCACAGCCTGAAAACCCAAGCCCCATTAATATGGAGTAACTTAGGGCATATCCTGATCTTCACAATTTCCTGTCACAGCCTGCTAAGCCAAAACTGTTTCAAAGCAGAAGATACAGCTACCTGTTTATTTGCTTGGCAAATTAATGATAAACCATAGACTTAGAATCTATTTTATCATTTTTAAGTTGGTTTTGAGACAGGGTGACATATCCCAGGAAGGCCTTGAACTCTGTGTATCCAAAGATGACCTTGAACTTTCAGTCACTCTACCTTCATGTCACTGCTATTGACTTGGTTTCAGGCTGTGCCAACACACTCAGCTTTATATGATGCTGGAGATACAACCCAGGGCTTCATGCATGTTAGCCAAGTACTCTGACAACTAAGGTGCATTGTCCACATCTTATT